ATATATATATATATATATATATATATATATATATTGATTGGGGCATTTACATTGAGAGCACACAATTTTATGTATTTACAATATCACACCTATAATTTCATATTCACACACATAGCATTCAAATATTTAATATCACATAAAAAGAGCGCTATTATCACTTTTTAAAGGTGAAATATACCTTTTTATGTGTTGGTTTAAAGCATCAAAATACTCTGTGTGTGTGTGTGTGTGTGTGTGTGTGTGTGTGTGTGTGTGTGTGTGTGTGTTTAAGCGTAAGATATGTGTGTGTGTGTGTGTGTGTGTGTGTGTGTGTGTGTTTAAGCGTAAGATATGTATATACATAAGAATTGTGTGATGCATATAAATCTTTAATATCACGTAAAAAAGAGCGCTATTATTGCTTTTTAAAGGTGAAATATACCTTTTTATGTGTTGGTTTAAAGCACCAAAGTGCTACACACACACACACACATATAAATATGAAAGTTTAGGTGTAAGATATATATATATATACATAATAATTGTGTGTTGCATATATAAATTTTTCTTTTCGATTTTATTTTCATTGTTTTGTCTTTTTGTTGATGTAAATCATGATGTGCTGTCCTTTAGCCTTTAGCGAACTTTTTCGTTGCTCAAATATGTAATGTAAATTTTCTCAGGGGCGCTTGGGAGAAGCCCGGCTGGTGCGTCGACCCACATTTGCCGCCATGTGCATCGTAAAAACCTTTAAACTCTGCACTTTTTAGTCATAATTGCATTTTTATTGGAGTCTAGAGAACTAAAATTTTAATTTGTATGGATATTTGTGGTAATTCATAGTACTCGTGCCTTCTGGCACCTTATTAAAAGGTTGCTGATGTAATATCACCTCTTACATTCTCTTAGTTTTGTGGAAATGATGGCTCCTGTGTTTTCAAGAGCTGCGTGGCGCTGTGTGTGGCATATGCTTCAGGTACATTTACTTTTGACATTTGTACCACTCAATTCTTTCATATCACATAAAAAATAACACCGTTTCAACTTTTAAAAAGTGAAATATGCCTTTTCATGCATAGATAAGATGTCATGTATGTAAAAATTGTAAACATTGAAGTTTAGGTATTCGATATGTAAATACATAAGAATTGAGTGGTATGTATATAAATCTTCCTTTCATATCTATATTCCAGTATACAAGTAATACTTCCAATGACAAATTTCTGTATTCGAATATTTCAGAATGATTTGGTTCATGGATGGGGCTTGGACTTTGCACTGAGGAGATGTGTAGAGGTCGCAATTCATTCCTTTTCCTTTGACAAAATCTTCCACAGTTTTTCGGCTTGGAGTATTTTTCTTAAATGAAATAGTATAATTTTGGTGTTAGTGATATAAGTCTGAATAAATTGTTTTTTGTTGCCACTATTTACTGTTTTTCCTAGAGATAATTTTTTGTTTTCTTCTGCAGCCGGCTTATACAAAAATTGGTGTGGTTGACTCTCAGTGGATTGTTCATCAAGCCATCCCATCTCTAGGAAATCAAGTTAGTTTTGGTTACATTCTTTTTATTATCATCAACTTTAGTCCCAATTCCAACTATTCGAAACTAATTTTTACTATAGAATTTTTGTCATTCGTCTTCAATTTTTGTGTAAAATGTAGTCATCCAAGCAAGCATCCATGTAATTTGAGTGCTATTCTTTAAGCAATGATTAGGTTCTTCTACTGTGCCTTGGATATTATAAGTTTGAATGATGAATGGTCTTTTTTTTCTAAGTATGGGTAAGGCTACATGCATCAACTCCTTATCAAAACTACCTTATAGTTGGGAAGAACCTAATGTATTTGTTATGCTTCTTTTTCGGCTTTTGAAGTAACATATTTGAGAAATATTTGACAGGCTAACCATTAATTTGAATGTTATAGTATAGTCCTAAAATTAGGTGATGCAATTTTTATAAAGTTCTTCAAAAGAAAATTTCGAGGCTAAATAACCATGTAACGGCCTTCATGAAGTTAAAAAGTACAATATTAGATTGAGACATGGCTTCATAGTGATCTAATTGATATACAATTCCAATAGGGGTTCCCTCGTCTCACCACTCAAATTAGATTTTAGGGCATAATTACACAAATTACACTTAGCGGCGGTCAGAACTGAGTAAATAGCTTCCAATCATCAAGTCAAATATTTCAAACCTTATATCTGATGTTGTGTTTGATTATTGCATGTCATAGCAGAGGGGTTTACTAATATTATTAAGTTTTGCAATCACAAAACAAGTATTTCCCAATAATGAATCCGATTATCAAAATATCATAACCGAAGGGGCTCATTGCCAAAATCAAACTCTAGATCATATAAACAAACTCTTCAAGCCTTCTCTATTAGGATGGGTGCTTTTATCGTCAATTATTACTAGAAGGGATCATCATATTAAAGTCATGCTCTTAAATTATGACATAACATATAGTTCGTGTTCCCATTTTGATGATTGGCATAAAATTACAAAATATAACCAGAGAAAACTCTATCTAAATTTAGGCCCTTACATGCTAACAAGTTCAAACAGTAATTGGTCCTTTTTCACTCAAAATAACCATTCATTCATCCTCCATATAAGTTTGCGAAGTATGCCCAAAGCTTATGAAAAATTAATGCCATGTCTGGTGTATTCATATGATGATATTAAAAGTTTTTTGGTTAGCAAGCTTGTAGCACCTTTTCTTTGTTTGGGTTTTTAATTTGATTGTGACGACACCATTGTAATATAGTTATGAGCTGAGTCTAAATGTTAACCGATTGCTATACTTACAAATTGTGAGCCATAATTCACATTTAATAGGGCGTGAAGTCTTACGTTAGTCAAAGTAAACCTTAAAATTAGCTCCTTTGGCAAGCTTTCGGCCAGAGTTTTGAGAAAAATAGGCTGAATTTTGAATAGGCTCGATTGTCTTTTCCCTTTGCTTTCATTCCATTAAATAACAATCTTACAATTGTCATTAGGTACAAAATAAAGTGCATATAATCTATTTTAGGTAACTTAATAATATGTATTCCTAATCTAAATATTCAACTAAAAGAGAAATATATCAGAATAAAGATATTGGAAATAAGGAAGCATTATAGAAAACTCTTAATTTAGCTGTCTGATTTCCATCCTTCCTGATTGACATCCCCCCTCAAATTGATGTTGACTGATCAAGAAGCATCAATTCGACAACAAGAAGCTGATAACATTGTTGGGACAAAAAATCCTCAAACTGTGAGTGTCGATGTCTCAGAGTGCTGAAGCCTGAAAATACCGAAGACTAAAAATGCCAAGCCCAAAAGTGCTAAAGCCCGAAGCCTGAAAGTGCCGAAGTCTGAGATTGCCGAAGCCCAAGAATGCCGAAGCCCGAGAGTGCTGGAGCTTAAAAATGTCGAATCCCAAAAATACAGAAGCCCAAAAGTGTCAAAGCCTGAAAGTGTCGAAGCCCAACAGTGCCGAAGCTCAACAGTGCCGAAGCCCTAAAGTGTCGAAGCCTAAAAATGCCGAAGCCCTAAAGTGCCGGAGCCTAAAAATGCCGAAGCCCGAAAGACCGAAGCTTGAGAGTGCCGAATCCTAAGAGGGCAATGCCGAAGCCTGAGATTGCCGAAGCCCAAGAGTATCGAAGCCCGAGAGGCCGAAGCTTGAGATCTATGATTTTCCGAAGCCGAAGCCATCGATCTAAGGAGTGTCGAAGCCGAAGCTTAAGCGGACGAAGCGAAGCGTAAGAAGCAGTCGAAGATACCACAGAAGCAGTGATGCCTAGCGAAGAAGATCTGAATCGGACGAATAATAATACAAACATAACAGCCCTTTTCAACCCAAAAATCTTTGCTGCTTTCGCCTGCTTCTTTCTACCACCAAATAAACCACCAAACCAAGAAGAGGATGATGAAGAAGCAGCACCGACATCATTTGCCATCACAGCAGTTGGCATAATTGATGAACGAATCAAAGAAAAAAAAATAGTTCCTCCTTTCCCGCAAGACGGCCGGCGGTAAGGGAGTCGTGAAGGTTCTCCAACGACTACCGGTGGTTAGGGCAAAAATTTGACTCTGATACCATGTCAAAGTTTTGAGAAAAATAGGCTGAATTTTGAATAGGCTCGATTGCCTTTTCCATTTGTTTTCATTCCATTAAATAACAATCTTACAATCTATTTTAAGTACAAAATAAAGTGCATATAATTTATTTTAGGTAACTTAATAATACATATTTCTAATATAAATATTCAGCTAAAAGAGAAATATATCAGAATAAAGATATTGGAAATAAGAAAGCTTCTAATTATAGAAAACTCTTAATTTAGCTGCATGATTTCCATTCTTTCTGATTGACACTTTCAGCCTCAAGTCTACTAGAACGACACAACATATTATTATTGATAAAAATCCTTCAATCAAATTTATTTTACTATCTACGTTGACTAAATAGGTCAAGGTTCACTACAAACTGAGATGTGATTGACCTATGAAATTTTGATTGAGTTTGTTGTCATACCTCGCTATTCACTTTGAGCCAATAATAATGCACTTTCTCTCCCCAATCCAAGTCATTACTAAGCAAAGCATGATAGTGTCTATAATTAAGAGAGACAACTAATCACATGGGCTTCTACTTATAAGAAATCTCAAACTAGATGATGCAGTCCTCACAAAAGGATGAAATATATGATCTTCACAAGTTGGTGAAATTTATATATACTATCTTATCTAATATCCATTCTATCTTATGAAAATTTGGCCTAGACGCCAAGTTATTGTAATCATATGAACGAGCCTCGTGGGACTTTTTCAAACTCGTACGTATCAAGAGATTAGTGCTATGTAAAATTATTTCTTATTAGAAATTAAGCTTAAATAAAAATTAAGGTATGTTTGACACCTTTCAAGTAATCAATCAAGAATGATTGGGTACTCAAAGAATTTGGCCAAGGCAATTAAGGAAGAGAGATATGGCTTTTGACTCTCGCACCATTGGGGATTAACTTCGACCGGAGGTTTAATTCAGTGAGCTTTTAATGATGGCTGTGTTATTTTGAAAGCAACCTATCAGTAGACTCCTTGAGCTGGTTGTGCTCCTTGTTGATTCAGCCTACTTAATGAAGCCTTTCCCTTTCTTCTTATCTGAACCTCTCATTTAAGAGAGCAAAAAGTAAGAGGGAGAGTGAAGAAAGAAGTGATTGGGAGGGGGGGGGGGGGCGCACTTACAGGGGAGAGTGTGTGCGTGTGATATGGTTTTTGCCGTATTATGCTTCTATTAATTCTGATCATGAAGTGAAACTTATAGTAGATCCTTGCATATTTTCGTAGAGAGTTATAAGATTAACACTTACAAAAATGAAGAGATAAATCTAAAATTTCAACTTATTACATGATAATTATCAATATAAAACTTTTGTGATAGATTTTTGCCTTTCCTTTTTTTTTGGTGATAACTTGTCTCCAATTATTGGATAACAAGAACACCTTATTTCCTTAATTTGGTCGATGGGAAGTTTAAAATTACTTGTCTTCTTGAAATTTATTTTGATGCCTTAAACTCTCATGATATCTGATAACTAACTTGTATATTCTTTTTGCATTTAATTTTGTCTGTTGTTTAAAAATCTCATGAATATTGCAGGGAGAATCATATGGTGGGAAAGCGCCATGGCTAGCGGTAATTACTATATCTCTTCTATAAAAACTTGCCAGAGTCCTATTGCAGGCTTAAAGAAATATGGTTTGAGAGTTATACTACTAAAATTAAGAAAAAATTACGTACATACCACACTCACTTCCTATGAATTTTCATGTGTAATACATAAAGTTTAATTTTTACATGCATTGCACCTTGGCTATGCATGTTAAGGTGCATTTCATTTTTCAGAATGTGATAATGAAAGATTTGGGCGGTATAAATGTAAAAA